CAGAACCAGCTACATAATAATAAATAATAATAATAATCCTTGCATTTGATATAGCGCTTTTCACGTCTTCTCGACGTCTCAAAGCGCTTCACAGAATATGCTGTAAAGTGAATTGACCGTATATTTGTGGGCGAAACGCGGCAGCCAATTGTGCACAGCAGTGTCCCACAAACAAACGTGGATTGAAAGTGACCAATCTATTATTGTTTTTGTTTTTTTGGAGGGATTATTATTAGGCGTGTGGAATATGGAAACTTGCCCAAGGTTTCGCCCTGACTGGAATTGAACCCAGGTGTCTCGCTTGCAAGGCAAATGCTCTTACCACTGAGCTGCAGGTCTCCACAAGAATGGTATAAAAGATGGTTGAAACAGTAACAACTTAGAGTTGTACAATGCTTTTCACACCAAACAAAGTCTCAAAGTGACTGGGCACCTGAGCTGCTGGTGATGGTGGTGTGGGGGGAATGACCAAAACCTGATGAAAAGATGGGTCTTAAGGTTGGCTTTAAAGGCGAGGAGGGCAGGGGAAAGGAAGAATTCAGTTCCAGAGAGCAGGGGCAGAATGGAAAAAGAAACAGTCCTCAGAGTAGAACATAACATAACATGTAGGAGCAGGAGTAGGCCATTCAGCCCTTCGAGCCTGCCCCGCCATTCAATCATGGCTGATCTTCTAATCTAACTCCAGCTAATAACCTGAACCTGCCTTATCCCCATATCCCTTAATCCCTTTTGCAGTAAGAAATCTATCTCAAGGACTGAGCGTCAACAGCCCTTTGGGATAGTGAGTTCCATACATTCACCGCCCTTTGAGTGAAGAGATTCTTCCTCAACTCAGTGCGAAAGGGCTGCCTCTGATTTTAAGGTTGTGACCCCTGGTTTTAGTTTCTCCAACCAGGGGAAACAATCTCCCACTATCTACTCTATCATGCCCTTTGATGATCTTTGGGTTTCTATAAGATCCCCTCTAATTCTTCTATATTCTAGAGAATATAGGCCCAAATTGGTCAGCCTATCCTCGTAACTCATCCCCTTCATCCCTGGCACTAACCCAGTAAATCTATACTGCACCCCCTCCAAGGCAAGTACACCTTTCTTAAATGAGGAGACCAAAACTGGACGCAGTATTCCAGGTGTGGTCTCACCAGGGCTCTATACAGTTGCAGCAAGCCTTCCCTACTCTTATACTCTAATCCTTTCATAATGAATGCTAACATACCGTTCGCCTTCCTAATTGCTGCTGTACCTGCAAACTAACTTTCTGTGATTGGTGTACAAGGACACCCAAGTCCCTCTGGACGCTAACACATTCTAATCTCTCCCCTTCTAAAAAATAACCCGCTCTACTGTTTTTGCTACCTAGGTGGATGACTTCGCACTTCCCTACATTATACTTCATCTACCACCTTCCTGCCCAATCACCTAACCTATCTATGTCTCGCTGCATTTTTTTTAATGTCGTCCTCTGTGTTGGCACTTCCTCCTAGTTTTGTGTCATCCGCGAATTTAGATATATTAGCATCAATGTCCTCATCTAGATCGTTGATGTAGATGGTAAATGACTGATCCTTGTGGCACTTCACTAGTCACATCCCGCCAATCCGAAAAGGACCCGTTTATCCCTAATCTTTGTTTCCTACCCGTTAACCATTCCCCAATCCACAATATGCTCCCCCTAAAAATATAAAGTCAAAGGATTGTAGAATGAGTTACCCAGATGGGATGGAGGAGGTGGAACACGTTAGGTGTGCCCAATAATAATAATCCTTGCATTTGATATAGCATCTTATCACATCTTTGAGATGTTTCAAAGCACTTTACAGAATATACTGTAAAGTGAATTGACTGTATATTTTGTGGGCAAAATGCAACAGTCAATGCAATAACATCAATGGCTTCAGCACAAACCTCCCTTAATTTTTCCACAGCAAAATGTACTTCATCTGTGAAAATGTCAATTCATAAGACTGCTACAAAAGTGAATATAAAATGAATTTCTAAAAATACCAATAAAAATATTTCCCCCTATAATCGTGAAGCCTTAATTTTGATTTTCTGTATGCAGGTTTCAATTTCCAGATATTTAGGTTTCTATTGTTAGAAGCACTGTTAGTCCGACATTGCTTTAGAATTATAGACCATTTTTACTTATGAAACCAAGATAGACAGATTACCAGATGGTTAGAATTTTGACTCCTATAAGCAGGCTGACCTCATATTCATGACCAAATCCCTGCGTAAAGTGAACTGATTTGATAGTCATGAGCAAAGCCTGGAATGATTGAAGTGGGTATGGTCAATGTCTTCAGGGAAAGGGGAAAAAAAATTGTTTTTAGCTCAAATATTCAATTTCAATAGTTAAATATATTTTTTACATGGATCCTAAGTTGATGCGATTGCAGAACAATTTAAATGACTCATTGATTTTTTTTAAAAAAGCAGTTAAGTTTATTTTCAATTGTGGAATCATCCACATGAAGTACAAAAACTACTAGCATTATATGGCAATGTCACCTATAGCATAACAATTAACAGAAGGACTGAATCATGCAACCAAAGCACGGAGGAAATGAAGACACACCTCTCCACGAAACCATTCCTCATTATATTAAAAAAAGTCAAAATGGTAAAATTTTGGTACTCCAAAATCAGTTCAGGGAATGTTTAATCAAGAAAAAATCACCATATCACCACTTAGTGTTTCATGGTCACACATTCTCCCTTCTATACATACACACTATATACATTTCATGCCCTGGCACCTCCCTCTCTGAACTCTTCGCTCCCAATCCACCACTCCTCCGCTCGATTGGCACTGGCTCCTGCTCATCCATCGCACTGCACCCTCCGCCCAACCATCGAAGGTTGTGCTTTCAGCCGCTATGCCCCCAAACTCTGGAACACGCTCCCTCAATCCCTCTGTTTTGCTCCCTCTCTCCCCCTTTTCAAATCCCGTCTGAAAGCTTTCCCCTGCTTACAGTCACCTTCCCCGGCTTGGAGTCAGGCTCCACCAATGTGAAGAGCTCTGAGACTCTTCCCTGCGTGAAGGGCACTATATAAGTGCTTCTGTTGTTGTTCAAAAAGCTAAGTAGCCCAAATGGCATGTATGTAAAAAAAATGTTAATTCTATGAGTGATAAATTATTCAAAGCAATTCGTCAACTGCTTGATATTTAGTAAGCATATTAAACCTACTCCTAACAGTCAAAACCACAGCTGTTAATGAAAAATTATTCAGTCTGGGCACATCCAAGCTCTCCATACCAATGTACAACAACTTGCGCTTATATAGGGCCCTCCACGCAAGATAGCGTCTCAGAGCGCTTAACCGCGGTGGAGCCCGACTCCGAGCCGGGGGTGGGGGAGGAGGTGGTCATAAGCACAGTTGAAGAGGAAGGTTTCCAGACGGGACTTCAAGAAGGGGAGCGATGGGGCAAAGTGGAGGGATTGAGGGAGAATTTATTTCTAAAGTACAAATCCCTAAAAACAAATCTCCCGGGAACACTTTCCCACACCACCCAGTTCAGGGAGCGGGGATGGGGTTTTCCCAGCTGCCCGCAGTGTTTCCGCAGCTCGCCACTCAGACCCGTGCGGCCTGCGCTGAGCACTGGAAACCTTGCGCCTGGTGCACCGCAAACCTCCCGGGCGGGAGAGCGGACCCGCATAGCTGAATGCGCGCGCAATCACCTTCTTCCCCCATCCCCCACCATCACCAGCAGCAGCAGCACAATCGCGCTTGCGCACAACCCTCCCTCCCTCCCTCCCAAACCATTTGAGCCTCCTTTGTCCTCCCGGTACCCGCGCGAGCGCGCGCACGCACGCGCATCCCTCCCAGACACGGAGCCAGAGACTCGCGCAATCGCTCCCGGATACTGCACCTCTCGACCCATCCCCTGCGCGCATCGCCATTTTCGCGCCTGCGCATATCCGTGTCGCAACCTCGCTCTCCTCCTCCCTGCCCCCGCCCCGCCATGCCCCGCCTTCAACCGTTCGAGCACCGCGCCGGCGCACATTGGGTGTCGCAACCTCCCCTTCCCTTTTCCCCCCTCGCGTCCGCTTCCAACCGCCCGAGCTTCGCGCCTGCGCACAACCGCTTCCAAGCAGCGACTCCCACCCCCGCACGACCCCCCCCCCCGCCGCCGCCGCCTCCTCCTCCATCATCCGCGTTACAAGAGCTACTAACCGTTCACTTTGTTCACTCGACTCAACGAACGTTGATTTTTTTTTAGAAAAATGGTTTCGCTCGACAGATTAAAAAACAAATCGCAAGACTGAAGAAACCCATTTTAAAAGTACCGATTTATATATATATATATTAAAAAAATCCTTTTTTCCCCCCACCTCCCCTTTACCCTTCGAGCCCGTAAGCTCTCACAGTCCGCGGGTCGGGGAACCGGCTCTCGGCGCCTCGCCTTCTAGAACATTCCAGTCTCTTCGCCGAGACGTCACGTCACAGGTTATCAAGCTCCACTAGTGGCTGCCGGGAGACGCGTACTCGTGTATTATCCCTCTTGTGTTTGTGTGGTGGTGGGAGGAGGAGGGGGGGGGGGCGAGGCGCGTTTGGGGGTTGTCAGTGGGAAACTGCGTATAAATAACGGTTCTTTTGGTGGCGAAGCGCCGGGGCGAGAGTAAATAAACACGAGTCGGCGGCGGTTAAAGAAATCGCCCCGTTAAACTTCACACGGGAGCGTTTTTGAATTCTAGGTCGTTCGGTCGAGGGGCCCGCGGCAGGAGGAAGAGAGAGCGAGAGGAGGCGGTGGGGGAGCCGACGTCTCTTAAGTCAGCCAATAAGAGGGCTCGTAATAAAAGCCTTCGGTCCTGGCGCATCACGTGACGCAGCCCCGGCCTATGGGAGAGAGCGTTGGGCCCGCGGGAAGTCAAAGGCCGTCCCGGAGATGGGACCTTAGCGAAGGTCTCGGGGTTTAGTGCATTGTTTTTACCCCCCCCTTCCCCTTCCCCTTCCCTCCACTCACGCTATATTAATTATTATTATTATTATGAACGCGTGAGGGGAGGAAAAATAAATCAAAACGTCCGGGTGTCGCGGCGAAGCCTCTTTTCGTTTCCGCGCGCCGTCTGCGGGGTTTTGTTCTCGGGTCCTTTTTTATATATTGAAAAAAAACTGCGGTCGGACTCGCATCTCAACACGCGACTTCCTCCGACCGACCGACCCACGTCCTCTTCGTAAAGGTAAGGCCGGGACCGATCGTGGTGTTTTTAAATGGTGTGTGTGTGCGTGTGTGTACTGATGTCTGTGTGGGTGGTAGTATATGGGGGAGGCGAAAAGTGCAGGCCCGCAGCCAGTGTCGGCGGTGGCGACGGCTCCTCACAGATCTATGTTGGCTCCGTTCTGTGCAGCCCCGGGTCGCCTGGGAGCCCTCCTTGAAAGAAGGGAGGCGAGCGTGTGGGTACGAGCTGCCGCTGGGGCACAGCCAGAGCTGTTTGTTGTCTGCTAAGGTACTTTAAAACGTCCGAATGAATGTATTTTTATTCAACGCTGCATTCGACTAATTTGATTTCGTGGTTGTGGGCGCATGTGTGTGTTTGGGGAAAGGGGAGAGAGAGCGAGAGAGAGCGGTGGAGGAACGGACTGGCTTTTTTTTTAAAAAAAGATGTAATTTTTGATGGGTTTCACCTACTTCCCCCCCCCCCTCCCTCGATCCATTTCGAGTCCCCGTGGAGTAAATATTTACGCAGGTACTGTGCAAATGATAGCAATGGTGACCGGGGTTAGAACCCGTATGAAGCAAATTTACGTGGTTACAATTTTTTTTGAAAAAAAAGTGGAAATAACGAACGACCGAGAGATGACTTCAGAGATTTGCGATTCAGCGAGAGGACGCAGTGTAGGCAAAGACTGTGGTTACGACCTTTTTTTTTCCGTTGTGTGTTTGTGTGTAAAGAAGATGGGGTGGGGGGGGGGGGTGGTGTGATTCCCGAGCAGTTCCTGTTGAAAATGCTGCAGATTTTTTACCAGGGATGGTTTGGTGGTGTGGACGCGTCTGTTCTGACCTAAAATGGCTTTACGTTTGCAGTCGAGTCGGTAATGCTGGTGAAGGCACCATTATACATGGCAGGTCCGAGCGATCGTTCTGCTGAGCGCCACCAGGAAAGCCAATTCCGTTCAATGACTTGACTTGACGCTTGTGTAACGCAAACAAGGAAACAAACCAGTCAACCATTTTATCTCAAGAGTGGGATATTTATTGTATCGGTCAAGAAATGTTGTGCGGGGGCGAGGGGTCGGGGGGGGCGAAACGAGACGGAAGTTTTTAATGTCTTGTAACTCAATTAAAACCAAATGTGCACGAGAAGTGACAGGAAATGGAAGGAAGACGTTTAACGTAATTTTGAGGTTTAGTTACGGTACAACTGTTGATAGTGCGAATTCTCTCGGGGAAATGTCGACGTCGTCATCTAAATCCTGCCTTTTGTGTGGACATTGGGATTTACATTTCGACCAGAATCGGGATTATTATAAACCAGAGTTGACATTATTGCTTTTAAATCATCATAGTTGAGAATTTAAAAAGTGTTGCACGAATATTCGCTGCTTCAGTTTTACTGTACTTTATGTAATGAATCGATTTTATTTACGAGTTAAATTGGGACACTTGTCATTTTGTGAATCTTCAAAATATTGATTTTAAAAGGCAGTACTGTTCTCCAGTGGCATTGCATTTTCAATTTGTTTTATATATTTTATATAAAATTATTTTACTTTCCCTGATATTTCAGTTTAAATGTTCCAGCTGCTTACTTTTTTTTAGTATTTTGGACTTTAGCTCATATTTCGTGTGGTTTATCTTTCAAATGCAACTGTGGTTCTTTATTATGCTTCTCACATAATGTTTTCATATATAAGATGAGGGTTATAATTCTGCAGGTACAAACATTTCTGTCAGTATTTAATGCAGTGTAGAAACACAGCAAAGCACCAAACAATGATTAAACAGAACATTGATTGGCTTTCTTCTGTTTGACCTTCTAGGAATTGATTTTTACAATTACTTATTTTAACCATTTTAGATATTTTTGATCTAAAATAAGCTTGGATTCCAGGGTTTAGTAGCTAAGAACTTTGCAAGTTTAGAAGAGGAATTTATATTATTGCTTGAATTATGTCCAGGTCTCATGATGTGATGTATAGTGGTCTCTTCCCCGTCCCTTTCTGTGCATTTCTGTCTGTATTCTTGTATGGATTTATTAGTACCACACCTCACAATACATTTAGCTGCTTAGTTCCATTTCCCCGTCTTTTTCTATGCAATTCTCATTGTTATTATTTTATGAATTGCTTAACCACACCTCACAATGTATTCAGCTGCTGTGGAAACAGGAATAATTTATTTTAAAAATCCTTGTACATTTCTTTTCTTCCATTTGTACCATTGGAGCATTGAGAAATCTATGGCATGCCATGCATTTTTGACTGATTAAGTGTAGTGGTACCACAACTCAGTCTGGGATCTGTAACCCATGGTTCTTGCCGACCTGCGCATAATACACTCCGCAATTAGGCAAGCAAGGTGCGAGCCTCGAGGGAGAGGGTGCGCAATTCATTCCAGACATGGAAATTTCCATGCACAGTTGGAATACATATTTGGAACACTCTGGTTAGGATACTTCTAATGCAGTTTGCATTTATATTGCGCCATTCATGTTGGGAGGATGTGTTAAAGCGGTTAACACTGGTTAAGGGTGCCTGAGCCAGGAAGAGGGTGGGGAGAGGAAAGATGACTGAAAATGCAGTCAAAGAGGCACGTCTTGAGGTAGGCTTTGAAAGTGAGAAGGGAGGGTGCAAGTTGCAGGAATTTGGTAATGGAGTTCCAGAAAGTAGGGGGCAGAAATGCTGAAAGCTAATGGTGGGGTGGAAGCAGGTTAGTGTTCCTTGAGCAAAGGGAAAAAAATGGGTTGGGGTTTGGTAATGCAGGAAATTGCATAGGTAAGATGGATTAAAGCTGTGGAAGGATTTGAAAGAGAAAATGAGGATCTTGCATTTGAGCATGGTGATGGGTTTATGCATGCGTCAAGACACTCAGCTGACAATAAAAACTGATTGTGCTGACTCCATGGTGTAAGGGAAGCCAGTCCGTGCTGAATTCCGATAGTTTTGTATAGCCATGGCTACCATGAACTTAATATTGAGTGTTCTGGAGTGTGCATTCTCTTCCCCAGACATGTTTATCGATAATAATCCTAATAATCTTTTCATTTGATGTAGCATCTTTCATGTCAGTTGGGCATATCAAAGTGCTTCACAGCACTTACTGTAATGTACAGTGACAGTAGACTGTGCAGCCTACTTGCGCACAACCATGAAATGAATGACTAATGTTACTTGGGGATTGGTGGTGAATCACTTGGGAGAAAGGGAGAACCCCCTTTTTCTTTTAGTCCCGTGGGATCTTTAATGTCCACCATGATAGGTGGGTGGGACCTCAGTTAAACACTTCACCTGAAGGACGGCGGTACTCCCAACAATGCTGCATACCCCCTGCACTGCGTTGGAATGTCAACGCAGACGGTACTTACACTAACAAAAACGAAATGTGTATCTGTTTGCCAAGAACGCAATAACCAATTGATGTAGAGACATGATTTATATTAAAAAATGCTTTAATTAAGCCGCAAAAAGGTATGCATGGTATTCTGTAACAAAGTAGTGACAGAAGTCACACACCCTTCTAGAAAGATACATCTTCTATATACTAATAAAGCCAAAATATATGTCTGTCTAACCGATTGAAGTGGAGACATGATTATCTCTTTGTCAACGAAAGCATCGATATTCACGCCCTCACTGAAACCTGGATCACTCCATGCGACTCCTTCTCCCTGACAGAGGCCAAACCACCCGGCTGCACCTTCCATCATACCCCACGACCTAACCACCGTGATGGCGGCGAAGCTCTCATTTCTCAGTCTCTGCTGGGCTTGTCCCCTTACTCCTCTGGAACCTTCCCCTCCTTCGAGCACCTTGCCTGTTATCCCCCTCCAACCTTTCCCTCAAAATTCTCCTTATCTATCCCTCCCCAGCCTGCCCCGACATCTCCACCCTCCTATCTTCCCTCTCCCTCTGCTCCGAACGCCTCCTCATCCTAGGCGACTTCAACCTTCGCTTCACCCCCTCCTGCTCTACTTCTGCTGACATCTCCTCTCTCAGCCTCTCCCTCCGCATCCACTTCGCCACCCACATCCACAGTCACCTCGACCTGGTGATCACTCGGGGCTTCACCGTCTCGGACCTCACCATTTTTGACAAAAGAAATCTCTGACCATCACTTAATTTCCCTCATCTCCTCAATCCTTCTCCCACTGCTACCCAACCCACCTCCATCTCCTACCTCCCCTAGAAAAAAAATCTCTCCTCTCCCTCTCGGCTGCCTAGGAGTCATCTGAACTTCCCTTCTGAGCTTCCTCCCGCAATGACATATTTTCCTTGGTCACTCTTCTCCGCGGCTCCCTCTCCACCATTCTCGATTACCTTGCTCCCCTCATTTTTCGAACCATCTCCTACTCACGAATATCACCAGCCACCTCCGCGCCCTTAAAGCACAGGTGCATGCCGCTGAACGCACTTAGCTTATATCAAACCTAACAGTCCATCAGCAGATCTGGCTGGACCTTATCCAATCTTAACACACTGCCGTCGACTCCACCAAATTGTCGTTTTACTCTAAGACAACCTTGGAGGCCAAGGACAACCCCAGGATCCTCTTCTCCATCACCAACCGGCTCCTCCGCCCATCCTCACCTGTAATGCCAACTGCAAGGCGATGCTGGACTTCCTCAAATCCAAAGTCGAGGGGATCCACTCAGCTGCCTCTGCCCTTCTGTCTACTAACCCTTCCCCATCTCCCCCTCTCACCCAGACCCCTACTCATCCCTCCCTCCACACCTTCAAACCTGTCTCCCACTTCTCTCATCATCACTAAAATCCGCATGAAACTGACCACCAGCTGCCTTGACCCCATCTCTACCCTCCTCACCTTCCAGCTCCTTGCCCCTCTACTCACAGACATCATAAACCTTCCACCTCTTTAAAAATGTCTGATATCACTCCTATCCTTTTTTAAAAAAAACCTCCCTAGACCCATTCCTGCTCTCAAACTACCGGCCCATCTCGAACCTCCCTTTTCTCTCCAAGGTCCTGGAACAAGTCGTTGCTTTCCAGTTTTGCTCCTTAC